ATTTCTTGAGCAATAATATTTCTCAATGTTCTTAATATGTGGGATAATGCTATTAACTAGTATAGTTTTTTAGGTTTTTATGTTTTTGATGACATTCAGAATCACTTTTGCGTTATTTTCAAACCGTGAATGCAAAGTGATAACATCATTTTCCCTTCATTGTAATAGGTACATTGTAATTTTTGTGAGCGTGAAAAGATAATCCTTAATAACAATTTTTTATTTTTAAGGGAAAACTTAAATAAAGTCCAAAAATGTCTTAATATGTCTCATGTCCAAATCCACACAAATCTAGACAAATCCATAAATTTCTCCTAAAATCCCACATCTTAAAAATGTCTACAAATGTCTCCATTGAATACACCCCCTTTAGTAAGATTTTTCGAAAAAGTAAAATTGGATAAGCTTAGCGGGACAGAGGGAGTATTAAATAGTGAGGGGGTGTTTGGTAGGATGTAAAGTAATTACTTTGCATGCAAAGTGTAAGGACGTAAAATGTTTACACTGTCTGGTTTGATTATTTAATGTAAACTGTATGACACTTTTTTAAAACATTTAGCACTGCACCATGCAAAGTATTTTACGTGGGGGGAGGGTGGTAAAATACTTTGCATGCCTTTTATGAAGCACTGCAACGACTTTGCGTTCAATTTAAAAATAAATAACTCATCTAGTCAAACAATGTAATCTATTTTACATGCAAAATGATTGCTCCCCTATACTTTGCATGCGATCACTTCTCGTGCAAAGATTTAACGTGCAAACTACAAAACGAGCCCTGAGACTATGTGAACATGATCCCATCTCGTCATCGCGAGCTCCAACTTCATTTGCGGTGGTCGTGTGGGTTTCGTCGGCTAAAAGGAGTCAGTGAGTAGGAGCATCTGGTATGAGACGAGCGTCTGGCCTTCTGGCCGTTTGGCTGCGAATAATGAGCCGTCTTTATGGGTGCAAGCGACGAACTGTCCTTACATGTGCGAGCGGCGTGCAACGAGGCAGCCACTTGGGTGCGACCGGCGTGGCGTCAATGTGGTGGGAGGGGCGAAACTTCTGTTTAGGTCATCAGGGGTGAGTATGCGGTGGTAATAAAACTTTGGGAAATTCTATATGCAGCCTTCTATTTGCTAATTAGAAACACCCGTTTAAGTAATTAATTTAAATTCCGATTATGGCCTTATTTTAATTTAACGTCGTCGGAAGTTTACTCACAGCCACAAACTCCATGCCTGAAGTTCAAAAGCTAGAAAGAACCCAAGAAGAAGTTAGATTCATATCCCATTCTTCCTCCGATCAGCAAATAAAAATGACAGACGGGGCAGACGAAACAACCAGCAGATAAGCAGCACACAATTCATGATACTTCCATTCGATTCGAGGTCGATTTTCATCTAATTCCTGGCTTCCTACTGCGCGAAATGAGCCCGGTGAACCGCGATCGGCCCTTACATTTGCTCCTTCAACATGCCATGGATGGTAATTAATGATAAGTAGCTCCATCTTAACTTAGCTTCTACTTCCGATCTTTTCCAATGTCCTCAAAAAAATATTTCCTAGTTTCAAATATCCACATACGAACTGAAATAGTAGATATTGTGATCAAGTCAAACATAAGACGGTTGAAATCCCAAATTTGAAACACTAGTTTACCTATCTTTACGAGTTGTGTTTTTAACACCTGTACACAAGTCTTATTTCCATGTTAAGGATTTGTATGTGTGTTCTAAGTTTCTTTATTTTTATATTTTTAATTTTCTTTATTTTTGGATGTCCAAGTAATGAACTATCTCTGTCTTTGACAGTTTACTAATATTTACACCACCTGCTATTATAGCTTTCTTGGTTCTTAATTCTTATCCCAGTTAATACTGGAACTCTATTCTTCCAATCTTCCTCCGTAAAGACCTGTTAGTTACTGAGATTGATAATTTGCCCATATATTAAAACATGAGACCCAAATCTATGAAGCAAGTCTTATTCCCCAATTTTTCCCAAAAAAAGTCTTATTCCCCAATGTTAATTAGATTTTGTTTTTGTTTTTTTCCACTCTGCTCCAATCAAATCAAAATTTTCCTAAAAAATCCATATTGTTGCAATCAATTATGTGATGTAGTGATGTGGTAAAGTAGCAGTATATTCTTTGACCAAATACACATTTAAATAAATGGTTTAACTAAATTGTACTTTGTTTTCTTTTTTCATGCTTAATGTAAGCCTAAAAAGGATATGTACTTGTTGATTCAGATTGTTTTTTGTGCAAATATCAATGTAGTATTTGTCCACTACTTAGAGTATTCAAGTCAGGTTATATGTAAAAGAAGGGACAAAGAGTTTACAACACTAAGTTGCTATACCGCCCATTAAAATTTATCTAATAAACTAAGTTAATAAGATATATAAATAACATTCTTTAGAAATCTCATTTAGAAAACGAGGTTGAACTGGAACTCTAAGTGTCGTGTCTAAGAATGCTAAAGTTCGTCAAAAGATCAGAGCCAATTGAATAAGGGTAAATGTTTTTCTGTTTGCATAAGTAGAGAGCAATTTTTTGTCCTTTTGCTGGACTGCTTCCAATCATCATTCTTTTACTTATTGTATGGTCAATCAAATGATCTTTCTCAACACGTACTCCAATGCATCAAATTTCAGTGACCTATTAATATTATTTAGTGGTCAAGTTAGTATCGTTAAGTTTATTTACTTTTTATTTCTTACAACATTATTTTAAAGAAGTCGAACCTAAATTTGTTTGATATGGAAGTTGTGTGCCAGAATCCCCACAATTCCTTGCATGTATAAGAGTGTCTTGTAATCTGTTTGCTGGTTGTTGTGCATTTTTTTGAATGTTTACCATAGGATCACGGTTAACAATGTTTCCATTTTGCAAGATAGTATATTGTTATGAGTGCTATTAGTATTGAATTCCTTCCTCTTAACAAGTCTTTGATAAAAACAATATTGGACGGAATGAGCAAATGGGTATTGCTAAGTTTCCTATAAAAGATCTTGACGGTATTACTCCTAAACAAGTTTAGTTGAAATTGCTGCCAAAACTTGACATGTTTAAGGTCAAAGACAAGGACACCATTACAATTAAGGTGTGTGTCTGATCTACCTTCTATTTACTATACAATTGACTGATACCTCATTATTTGGGAGTATGAGCATAGTAATTATGTAAAGTGAAGGCTAATATTATACAAAAAAAACAATTATGACAAACTCAGGTCTCATACTTCAGGATATAATATAATGCGCACAGGTTGGTGTAATTTTTTTTCCCACAGGCAGAAATGTCATAATACAATTCAATGTATAAAGTGGGACTTGTAACAACAATGATTTATTTTAGGCCATATAAAATATAAGAAAAAGTCATGATATGTAAACCGAAATCATTGAAAAATAACCCTACTTCTTATTAATCGGAGTAGGTGAAAATAATGTTCCGAAGTGAAGTGAATTTTGAGCTAAAATTTGGAGATATATTTTCTAACAAAATGCTTTATCTGTATTTTATTGATCATATGACTATGAATTTGTTCAAAAATGGGAAGAGGTAAAAGCAGTGAAGTTTTTTTGGCCCATGTTCAATGAAATAAAGGAGTGGCCTTCAACCCAATCACGTGAGTATGTGTGTTTTTATGTTTTATGAATGTTGGAGACAAATCAGTTTTTTACAGAAACATTCCGTGTAAATTATATGGCGCCTGATCCAAGGGTTGTAGATTCCTTCAATGCTATGAAGAGCTTGGGCATTCATTCATCAGTTGTTAAACCAGTACTCGGGAACTTACTAAAATTGTATGGCAAAAAAGGTAACTCATAGATTTGATGGTTTCTCTGGACAACCCAAGCACTTCCGTATCAATGACGTTCTAAATTTTGTGGAGGACATTTACACTTCATGTAAAAGTGATGACTTCCATCTTTCTGTAAGCAAGTTACAGAAATATCTGTATGTGAAGGTTATTTCGAACTGGCTAATAATCCTATTGTGAGATTAATTGAGGAAAAATCCATTAACGGTTGTCTTTCCCATAAAGAAACTCTAAGAGTGGACCAACCTAAAAGACAATCAATGACAAAAGTTGGATACTAGGGTAATAAGTATGCTTGGACTTTCCGCATTTGTGGCTTTCTCCCTTCTTTGGTTTCTCCCTTCGCTGGCTCTCTGCGCTTGACCGCTTCCCTCATAGGATTTTGCGTTTCACATTATTTCAAGCCTTCATGTTCCTGCGTTTGCTTTCCTGCTGCATTTGCGTTCTTGTCTAGTGTCTACGGCGCTCACTTAACGATCGTTACATTAAAGAAGGGTAATTAACATATTGTTGTTTTTATTTTTTTATTATTTAATTCAGTGGCTGTGGTTAGTAATTTAAGTAGGCATGGCCTCGGTTCGGGCCGCCCGGCCCGGGACCGGCCCGACCCGCTACTGTGCGGGCCCGGCCCGGCCCGGTTATCCGGGTCCGGGTCCGGTTCGGGCCGGAGGCTCGGGGGTGGGGCGGTTCCGGGCTCGGTTCATGGTTTTGACGGCCCGGCCCGGCCGGTTCGGGCCCGGGTCCGGGCCAAATCTATTTTTTTTTTAATTTTTTTCATTTGTTTTGGGCTGTTGGGCTTGGGCTATCTGTTTAGGCCGGTTTGGGGGGGGGTTTGGGGGGGTGGGGGGGTGGGGGGTGGGGGAAGAAAGGAAAAAAAAAAAATTAAACCGGGTGGCCCGACCGGCCCGGCCCGGCCCGGCCCGGAACCGGACCCGGAACCGGTGGCCACCGGTTCGGGCTCGGGCCCAACAAAATAGACCCGAGGCCCGGCCGGGCCTAGGCCCGAACCGGGCCCGAACCGGCCCGGGTCCATCCATAAATTTAAGAGCTGCAAATAGAAACTCCCTAAACCTGACTATACCATTTTCAAGGTACAGACCAGGCCGGCCCAAAGTAGGGGTACCCAACCCACTTGTACAAGGCTCATCCATTTTTTTAAGGCTCAAAATTAAAATAGTAGTAGTATTGTACCAGCCCAGATCCGGAAGAGAAACAACTGACCAGAACGGAAGAAAAGCGGTAGTGAGCGCCTGAGCAACAAACCCGACAGAGTGGCGACGTCTCTTTCGCCGCCATCCAGCCACCGTGCCCCGCCTCCAGGTCCAGGAGACCGTCCAGGCCCTCTGCGGCTCTGCCTCACCGGCGCTGCGTCTCTGCGGTTCGCCAGCCATCCAGGCCCTCAGCCCCTCTGCGGGTCGCCGGAAGCTCTGCGCCCCTGGACCTCTTTCAGTCTGCCCCTCACAGCCTCACTGTTTCACTGCCTTGTTATTCGTTACTAGGTATTCCGTATTCTTTGACTAATTTTCTGTATTCTCTCTTTTTAATTGCTATTTAGGTTGTTGTTATTTCTTTAATGAATTTAAGTTTTTCTATTGATTATGATTGTATTTAACAATTAAGAATTTGGGGTGGATTCACTTGATTATGAATTTACAGTTAATATGTTGGGGATGATTCAATTGATTATAATTTATAACCTATTTAGGTCCGTAGTCATAGTCTTTCATGGTTTCACCCGAAGTCTAAAATGAAATTTAATATAAAATTTGTAAACATGTACATGATCAGGGGAGGACTTCAATAATTGATACGTAGTAATAATTATGTTTCCAAAGAAATGCCCCTCCTGTATGACAAGCTTCAAAGAAAAGAAGACCTTATCAAGTTGAATATCAAGAGCTCCTTAGCTCGAAAAGGAGCTCTTGATAAAATCGTTATTAAAACAGCTGGAGAGGCCCTAGAGAGTGAACAAAATGTATTTGTTAATGAATACTTTTATTTTTATTATTATGTTCATTAGTAACTCGTATTGTAAATTTCTAACACAAGGTACCATTTTCCCAGGATTGGCCCTGATACAACCACCAGTACAATATAAGTTGGCCCTGATAGTATAATGTCATATTAGTAGTGTTTTACAAGCCTCATATGATATACTACTGTAAGCAGGCATATTAAGAAAATCGATAATGTTTGTCATAGTGTGAGTAGTTAATTAATATTTAATATCATTATTCTCGAGAGTGCTTACAGTGTTACTATTTCCTTATAGTCTGTTTGGAACTTAAGGAGGATCGTATGTTAGAGAAAGAACACGACAAAAGTTGAGAGACGGTTCTGAAGGAAAGAAAATATTGCAGAATGTAAAATTTTTGTTCAAATTCAATCAAACATTTTTTATATTTGTCCAGACAGATTTTGTTTATTGATTATTAGACTTCAAAAATTAAGGGATTTGTGTTTCAGGTGTTCCTGCAGGTATCTAGAATTGCAAGATCAGAAGATGGAGGAGAATTTTGGCAAGTCACGCAAAAAGAAAGCCGCTGTCCAAAAAACTTGCTCCCCCCAAACTCAAGGGGACACTTTGAAAAGGATGCAAGTAGCGCAGAAGGCTTCTTCTTCCATAAGAGGTCATGCAATGGATGCATCTACTCCTGCAGACGACTATCGGGCATTGAGGAAAAAATATTTGCTCCTTGAAGAGGAAAGTTTTACACTTGGGAAAGAGTTAATGGAAGTTGAAGATGACATCAAAGTTCTTGAAGAGGAGAAGTTGGGACTTCTAGATGAGCTTGTTGTGTTAGAAGGGTTAGTTGACCCTTCAGAAATTCAACCCCAAAGCCAAAGATTACAATAAACTGGCTTTCAATACCCATATGGCCCATATGATGATCAGTATGATAGTGATGTACAATTGCACAACACTAATTGCTGTAGAAATGGTCGCAGGACATTAGAATTTCCTCATTCTAAAATCATGCTATGGATGTACATATTCTTCAGTGCACAAATATTAATACTAGTATTTATGTAAATGAGCCTAAATGAGGGATTATGCATGTACTATTTAGTAAGCATGTCGAGTCTAAAGAAGCAAGTCAGTAAATATTTAAACATTAGGGAAAACAGATCACTTTTTCTAAGGGTTTGATTTGGTTGTTTTGTGCCAACCCCTGCTTGTCATGATGTTGTGCCCCTTTACATTGATTTTTTCCTTTTTTTTCATGACTACTGCCCGTCCTCATTTTCTCCTCACCCCCTACAAATTGGACCCTGCAGACCTCTTTTGTTTCCCTTTCCTTATCTCCAAATAGGGGTGGACCGGTTCCGGTTCGGGCCCGGTTCGGGCCTGGGCCCGGCCGGGCCTCGGTTCAGAAAAAGGAGGCCCGGGCCCGAACCGGTGGTGGGCGGTTCCGGTTCCGGTTCCGGGCCAGAACCGGGCCGGGCCGGGCCACCCGGAATGTTTTTTTTTTTTTTCTTCTTCTTCTCTTATTTAACCCCCTACCCCTCCCCCTCCACCCCAAACCACCCCAAACCACCTCAAATGGCCCAAAATACCTAATCCAACCCAAAACTTAAAAAAATTTCAAAAAAAAAAAAAAAAAAAAAATTAAATTCCGGCCCGAACCGGGCCCGGGCCGGCCGGGCCGGTTCACTAAACTGGAGGCCCGGGCCCGGACCGGTATACCACCGGGCCTGGAGGCCCGAACCGGAACCGAACCGGTTGACCGGGCCGGTCCGGGCCCGCACAGTAGCGGGCCGGTCCGGTTCCGGGCCGGTTGGCCCGGCCCGAGTCCATCCCTATCTCCAAATCTACAGAAAATATCTTAATTGGCACTAATAGGAAGTAGGAACACTTGGTAATTAGTGTCTACCAGTTAGCTTCTTCTAGTTAATATTATTTGTTTATGTTTAGAAATAATTATAAAAAAATGAATTATTTAGTAAATGTCTTACCTAGCTTTATATCATGTTATACCGAAAATAACTGCAACCATGGAATAGGAACAAGTCAGCCATTTCGGATAGGGTAATTTAGTAAAGTGAATGATCAGAATGCCAGAATGGTACAATTTTTAAAGACTTTTTACTGTTTTTATAGCTCAATGTAATCCTGAAAATGATCAAGAGTAAAGAACCATTCCTGGAATAAAGTCAACAAAACCCCCTATTATTCTGAATAACATCATTTTTTCCTTCTTAAAAAAATCAAGACAAAAACCACATGTAATATGCACTCCATAGAGTAAGGGCAAAGGAAGCCAGAGTATAGTTCCAAAGCAATATCACAGAACATTCACTCTCCCCAACCTCAAACAGCTGAGTCATGGTTCCTGTCAATTCCCAAAACATCACATTCCATCATCTTCAGCTTTTAAATAACCATTTGTTGATATAAAAAACATCAAACCAAAGGACTGAAAGTAGTGCTACAAATGGGGTGATTAATAATAGAGATGTTACTTACCAATCCCCATAGCAGAAGGAAGTGCATATTGGAGGAGAAGAACAAAATGGAACAAGGAATCCGACCCCACCAAACCGAAATGCCGAGCTGCTTTCATGATGGCAATGCCACATAGAGGCAACAGGATGAACCTAATAACCTGCACCCCTACCACCACCCACACCCCAACTGACTGCTTTTTTAGCCCTGCAAACACAAAATATTAATATTACCAATGTTCGGTCTCGTCTTACTCCCTCTAATAAGCATGAAAAAGAGGAAAACCTCTAAGAAGATTGGCTCCAACTATAAGTGTCGAAGCTGGTATTGCTACCTCCCTGCCATATGTTTGGTCACACGTTGATTAAGTATAAACATACAAAACATGAAAACAACACAAACTATTTAGAGATGAAATCTTAAGTCTTAATAGAGTTCATACCCTAACATAGCTGCAGAGCTATTAATTGCACGAAGTGGAGCATTATTGCCAATCATCAACCTTCGTAATAGTGGTACTACTTCGATAGTTATTCCAGCAATCTGAAACATGAAGTTCATTCCTTCACTTATAAATTCAATCATTAGGCCTAAAAGTATGAAAAGAATGTGATCATACTGTTGCAATGGTGGATGGTGCAAACATCATTTTTAGGTTCAACTTCTCCACCCACAAGTTCACGCTCCGTTTGATCCTCGCCACTACGGATTGTTGGTGCTGCATGAAAAGGCTAATGAAGTAATGATGATGAAAGTCATTAATATTGATATAATTCCTATCTCTTAAAAACGCACATTTGAACTTTTTCACGGCCCCACCTGTCCTGTTTTGACATACATTTCTGTTGATGTATAAACACAAATGGTATAATGCAAAATGCTGTAAAATTTATTTCAAAGAATATTTGGAAACATCAATTTTTTATAATATATATTACATAGTAGATAATTAATTATACAAATAGTCAAAGTTATTTGCCAAAAGTGAAAGTAAAACTGATGAAATCAAAATAGAATGAATGGAATATTGAATAGTTGAAAAATGAATGAATGGAATTATATTTTTCAAATAAAGCAGAAGAACTAATTGACCTCTTCTTGATGATCACATACTAGCTGAGCTTCCTCTTCTTCTTGATAATATTTTAAGCTATGACTTGAAAGCAAGCTTTCTTTGCATCTATCTGAGAAGCTAGAACTCAACGTGTCCTGACTAGAATCTCGCCGCGGCTTTCCAGAAGCCCGAATTATGTTATATATGTATGTCCATATGTAAATGTTTCCTATCTTCAAGCATCATTTCGAATAGATAAATAAACATTTTTCCTTGAGTTTGGCAAGCAATATTGACCAGAATAAAGCAGCATAAATCTAATTTCATTATTTTCACAATATACATTACCGCCATGGAAAGTGATGCATAGGCTTTTCCGTTTGTAGAACAGGTTGAAGAATCCCCAAATGGGCTGTTCTTTTCCTCACACACTGCCGGGATTATGATAAGCATCAAATACCCCAAATTCCCTATACACAATCAAGTCGTCTTGTTGGACTACTATATTACGAGTAACATTGTTCTATTTGTTATGCCATCTCACATGGTCAAATATTATAAAGATTCAGACCAACATATAAAATTTCAAACTAATATATAAGATCTTGTTTAATTTTTAGAATGAAACGCCAAGAAAGCTCAAATGAGCAACTAGATTCGGCAAAGACTCAACAAACACAGTGCACGCCATCATATTCAGAGCATGCTAAGTCATCCAACATCAGTAAAATATAAATGTATGAAGTAACTTTAAGATTTAACACCAAGTCACTTTAGGATTCAACAATAAATGGTTAATTTATATGCATATACCAGCAGCACAACAGCTAATGACAAGACCGTGAAGCTCTTGAGAAGTTCTTGTGACCTTAACAAGGACCCAACCTAGAGCGGATCCGATGATAAACGTCAGGAGTGTGTTTAAGGGCATGAACCATCTGAAGATTTAGAAGCGAAAAATATGCATTAAGAAATTAAATTAACTAGCAAAAGTTTATTAAGATGATCAGATATATCTGAGCTAGAAATAAGAATCCAACACACAAGGTAACAACGCTGGTCGCTGTTAAGGTCTCAGCCAGGCTGCTAGCTACAAGCATTGGAGTGAAAACGTAAAACACCAGCTGCATGCAACCAAAAACAGAACCAGATTAGTAAATCCCACATGTACTAAATACAGATTACTAAGTTAGTGAGCATACATATATCTATGCTGCCGTGGAAAGTATGGGGAAACGTGGAACATCATCTTTTAATGCACGAAGTAGAACACAAGTATTTAGAGAGTTTCTGAGACTTTCTGAAACACAAATACACATTTTCCCGATATTTTCCGACTTCCCGTGCTTCATAGACACACACACACACACATATTACATTGTTCACGTTGTGCCTGGCAGATGCTCCCAAGATATCGATGCGCTCGAGAGCGAGAAAAAGGCCGATGGAGGTGATGATGAGTGTTTTGAGAACAGGCATTAGTGCAACCAAAAACAGTTCAAGAAATGCCATTTCCTAAACCAAATCCAAGATATATATTTATTCTGCAAGTGTAAGGATCCAATTTAGATTTCAAGCTTCATCTCCTCACAAACAATGTTGTTCCTGCTTCTCTTATTGACATTTAATAAGGCTTCTGAAAGAGAAGGGTGGCTATCAAACACTTCTTGATAGTTACTCTCCTATTTTACTAATGCATTGAATATAATGCATGCAGTGAGAAAGGAAGAGGAGTTAATAAAAAATCTACAGTATACAATAGTAGTATAGTACAATAAAAATGTTCAAAATGATGTGACGTTACCAATGTAAAGGTCCACGTGTTCCATGCAGATGATAAATGACCGTCAATTGTAGATTTGTAGTTGAATCAAAATCATTTTATTTGCACCGATTGGTACCAACTTGTTCTCTTGATAACTGGTATAGTCAATTAGTTGTTTCGTGTCAGAAAAATTAGTTTAGTCTATTTAAATCTAATGTAATCTAGTTTACTCCTGTTAGTCTTGTCGTTCAAATTAACTACTATAGGATCTTTTATACTTTATAACTATCTAAGATTCTAAGTGTTTACGACTTTACGTAGTAGTACTATTTTAATTGATTTAATTTGATGTATTTAAATTTGTGCTGGTCTATTTAGATTTGGTCTAGTTTACATTGTAATCATAAGTCTATTTTATTAATACATTTTTCTATCCAGCAGATCAGGCGTATAGGCCGTGCATTTAATCAAATTCTTATCTTAAACAAGGTTGAAGTTGTTTTTCTAGTTGAATTGACTGAAATACTGCAGGAAACCATTTTACCTATTTTCATGTAATTTTTTATTTATTTTACTAATAAATACACCCTCCAGTCCCAAAAGAACTTCATTATTTGACTTTACTGTTTTAGTCGGAGAGAGAAAGTAAGTGTAAAGTAGGTAATAAATAAGAGTATAAGAGTTACTACGTATTTTATATTGAAAACTTACCAAAAATAGAAATGTGAAGTTTATTTTGGACCTGACCAAAAAGGAAAGTGTGAAGTTTATTTGGGATAGAAGATAGTATATTTTAAATATAATTCAGCTAATTCAACCGTTTCAGTCAGATTTTCATCAATTCCAACATAATAGGCCGCGGATATAGATTTAAGTCATTTAACCAACAGGATCTTGATCAATTTATTCATTCTCACAAAGTACTTCATAATACTTTTCAATAGACATTCGTATTGCTCGGTTTAGTATGGGGGTTTGGGGAATAGGGATCAGATAAAACTCACATATCTTTGCAGCATTCAGGGCAATATATATTCAGAATTGAATAATGAAAAAATATACTTGTAATACGGAGTACTTGGATACTTTAATGGACAAAAATGGGAACATGTCTTGATTTATAGACAAAAAGAAACAAAACATTAATGAGTGGACCTAAGTACCCCTAATTCATTCCCCATTTCCTTCTTCCTACGGTATTCAATATCAACTCTTTCAACATATTATAAGGGCAATCTAGAGAAATTATGAGGCCCTTGTTGGAAAAATGTGTGGAAAATTGCATTAAATGGCTATTTTGGGGCAATTTTTTTGAGTGGGGTCCACTTCTGATTTGGGTCGGGTCAAAGTGGTTTCGGATTGTCCTTGTTAAGGGCTACAATTCGATATATGGTACGCTCAAAACGGATAACGGGTGAATGAGAAATCGCTTTTCGAAGTTTACCCGTTAGAATGGAAAAACTGGGAAAAAGGATGGGTTTCTAGTGTGTTAATTTCCCACACCGGAAAACACAAGGGATTTGCAACCCTTTATAAAGGGACTCTCCCCTTAAGGAGTTAAGATTCCTAAGGGTAAAGGCTCTCTCCACGTGCGCAGGGGGGGGGGGGTGCAAATCAAATCCCGAATTCGGAGAAGAAAAACCGCGATTTGCGTGCGCGGGCAACCTGCGGACACGAATGTCGTCCAAAAATCCATCGCTCAAGAGATACGGGTAATTTTTGTTTTCTTCCCGAAACGTATAATTTTTCCCAAGTTGACAGAATTGCTCCGGGCAGAAGGCCACGACAAGAGGTGCTCCAGTTCTGATGGCCTTCGGGCAGAGTTCCTCCGGTTCTGATGATCGCGCATCAGAACTGCTCCAGTTCTGATGGCCTTCGGGCAGAACTACGTAGGGGTCTTCTGATGGCTTCTGAACCGTTACAGCAATTAATGCCCAACGTTTATATCAGGTCCATTAATTCACTATTTTCATACAACAAATCCTCCTATATAAGGGCTGGCAGGTGGTTTGCAACAAGATACGTTCTTACACAAATCCATACACGTTTTAGCTCTAAAAACACACTGCTAACATTCCGAAAATTTCCCCTGTGTTCTCGTTCGCTGGAACTTTTGTTTGTGTGCTCAAACATTAGTTCGTAGTCATCGTATCCTGGGAAACGATTGTTGCAACGCTCCTAGCACCGTGGGAGGCAACAAATACGTTTTAAGGACATCGTGCGTAGCACGAGCTTTGGCTAATTCTGCTTCATCTCCTTTCTTGTTTTTCTCTAGTCATTTTATTTAATTAATTTATTTTAATTAATTTTCTTTATTTTCCGAAACACACCCAACAGCCCTAGACAGTCAAATAGACAATTCATTTCAATATGTCTAATTGAACACAAATGTATAAAAAATGTATTATCAATTAAATAGATGTATATTACATGCAAAATGCACCATATACTATTAATGTAAAAGAATATTTCTTCATAACCAAATGATCCAAAAAATACTAAAAATACATGGATATTCTAATAGTCTATTCTTCTAACTTTTTGAAGAGCAAAATTTGTAAGAACGTCACTACTACTCCGTATTATGAGTTGTGACTGTATCCTCATTCTAAAAAGTATTTGAATGATAAAGTTTTGTATTTACGTACCGATCTATATAGTCGGCAAATAGTTTTATGTCCTAGTCTTTTCTTAGTTTGTGCTTTCTCTTTGTATATTCTAAATCATGTTTTTGTTCTTTTATCACATGGCCTACAATTTTATACTACGTATAAAATAATAATAAACATGCAAATGAATCATAAATAAAAACTTAATGTACATATATAAAATATCTAACTATGTAAAAATTTCCAAGTTTTATTCATTCACAAGAGTAATTATTACCAAGTAAGAACAATATTAGAATCGTATTTAAAAGAAATCACCAATCAAGTAAAGAACAGGCCAAGTAAAGAAATAACAAAATAAGAAATAAGAATCGTATATGAAGCGTAGAAGAATTAGAACACCTCTAAACCTCTATTGTCGAGTGCTAATTGAGACTAATTGCAGAAGGGGTTGTACGGGAAGACCTAAAAGAATACTTGAAGCTTTCACCATAATTGGCATCTGCTCCATCAAGGTTACCCGTCAATTGATGTTTTCATGGCCATTGGTTTGAGAATTGAATTTAATCTAAATTTACATTAGGAATTTATATATAGATTTAATGGACATGTTTTAGATTTTGGAGGCCCCTACAATTTGGGGGCCCTAGACAAGTGTCTAGGGAAAATGCCCCCATGGCCGGCCCTGCATATTGTGATACTGGTAAGTTAGTTTGGTAAAACAATCAATGCCTAGTTTTAAAGACCTAGGGCCCGTTTGGTAACACTTAAATTGGTTGAATCGGTTGATTTTTCTAAAATTTACGAAGTTTTGACTAAACTAGCTATATTAGCTCATTCTGTTGATTTATGAAAAAAATATTTTTAAAATATATTTTATTAATAAAATAAAATAAATTATATTACAAATTAGCTAAAAATGGTAACTTATTTTTTCTTATCATTACACAATTCAACACGTGAAATCAAAAGTTAAGTGTGATAAGCCGAAAAATAGAGACACCAAACAGGCTTCTAATCATACTACAATGATCACATGTCTCACTAGAAGTCTAGAACAAATACTAGAGTAAATTCAACAACAAATACAAGCCTTACTAGAACAAATATAGTATTTGTCGTGGGCTGAATTGTATAATTACCAAAGTAAGAAACATTGCAGATACTTTTCTTACTAAATTTGTTGAACAATATGATTTTAATTTTTGAACATTAATTTTTGTAGTCTATGTTTTATTAATAAATACATTAAAAGACTATAATTTAAGACGTGGAAAGAAGGATAGAGAAATTTGACTATACCAGGAGTAAACTATAGATATTTCTGACACGGTCTTACCAAAAACATATAAGACCGTGGAAAGAAGGATAAAGAAATGTCATAAAATCAATGTTTTCTGTCTATCTCTCTCGTGCCACATGTGTACCGTGCACATTGTAGCATTGAAGATGTCTCATGGTCCAACAAGGCGGTGACGCTCAAATTGCTCCTGAGAATCTCTAGTATCTCAATAAGGTGGTGAAGAGCAAATTGAAAGCAATGAGAGAAGAAAAACCGCGCACACTAAAAGCAAATGAGGATATTTTACAACTCTCCATGAATGAATAAATAAATAAATTATAAAAATTCAAGACAAAATCCACATGTAATATGTAGTCCATAGAGTTAGAGCAAAGGAAGCCACTGTATAGTTCCACAGCATTATCACAGAACATTCACTCTCCCCAACCTCAAACAATTGAGTGATTGTTCCTGCCAATTCACCAAAACACATGTCATATTTAATTTCAATTTTAAGTTACAACATCTTTACTAAAAAATATTAAATAAAAGGACTCAGTGCTATTGGGGGTACTGAATAGAGATGCCATTTACCTATACCCATAGCAGAAGGAAGTGCATACTGGAGAAGGAGAACGAAATGGTATAAAGAATCTGACCCTACCAAACCAAAATGGCGAGCTCCTTTGATGATGGCAATGCCACAAAGAGGTAGCATGATAAACCTAATCACTTGAACCCCAATTAGAACCCACACCCCAACTGATTGTTTTTTTAGCCCTACAAAACACACAAAAAAAAATTAATACAAATTTTGGCCATGTCTCACTAGTTATAAGAGTGGAAAAAAAGGTAAACCTCTAAGAAGATTTGCTCCAACTATAAGTGTCATAGCTGGTATTGAAGCAGCCCTACAATATGTCCAATTTGTTTTCACACAATGAGTAAATATAAACACAACTAACATAGACCCTTTGGTGCATCTCTAAACATGTTGAGTTTTTTTAGGAGATGAAACCTCAAGTCTTAATAGATGCATACCCTATCAAAGACGCGGAGCTATCAATAACATGAAGTGGAGCATTTTTTACGATTATCAACTTTCGTAACACAGATACTACTCCGATTGTAATTCCAACGATCTGAAACATTAAATTCAATGATGATTCAGATCATTAGGTTAGTGCATGTATTGATATAATGTATGTCATAAGTATGAAAAGAATAAAAACCATACTGTTGCAATGGTGGAGGGTGCAAACATCATTTTTAGGTTATACTTCTCTACCCATAAGTTCACGTTCCGTTTAATCCTCGTCACTATGGATTCTTGCAGCTGAGAAGACTAAAGAAGATCATGGGCCAGTACTTATAAAATGAAAATGCTTTTACCATATACATTCCGTGTTTAGGTCTCTGTTCGATTTATGATACTTAACTTCTAATAACAAGTCACTTTATAATATATAAATACGGAGCAAGTATCAGTAATCTAACTTACATATTTGAAAACTATACTATAGCCCAAAATACAAATTAAGATATGATAGAAATTTGATACATAAAGTCACATGGTACATGAAAGTTAATTGAATGAATAGTTAATGTGAACTCTTATTATGGAGCCAAGGGAGTATCTAACAAAATGAATGAAAGGACTAATATTCTTATAAGGAAATTAAATGAATCTTAATTGACCTCTTTATCATCCCATATTTGTTGATCTTCTTGATCTCGATCACATTTCAAGCTATGACTTGAAAGCAAAACTTCTTTGCAGTTATCCAAAAAACTCGAACCCAATATGTCTGCACTAGAATCTCTCCGCGGTTTTCCGAAAACCCGAATTATGTTAAATATGTATGTCCATATGTAAACAGCTCCAATCTGCAATCATCATCATCCATAAAAGCTTACAGTTTCTTGGTAGTATGATTATATTACTAACTATACACTACGTATTATTGAGCAAATTAAAGTACAATTTTTGAGTTAATTATTCATTGAGCATTACCGCCATGGAAAGGGAAGCATAGGCTTTTCCATTAGTAGAGCAAGTTGAGGGATCTCCAAATGGACTGTTTTTCTCCTCACAAACTGCTGGAATTATAATAAGAAGCATGTTCCCCAAATTTCCTATACAGAACCAAATTAAATTGTCCGAAATATTAAGGAAAGCAGATTTGATAACTCCAACAAAAATGGTTACTCAATGCGTACAAGTTCATATTAATTACTTAGATATATCCACGTGAGATAATAAAAAAACTAGTATGAATTAACCGAACAATAGATCCATAAGTAAATGTTCAAAAGATTGTTAAATTGAATAATCGAACAGTGAATACGAACCTTAAATGGGGATATGGGAGTACTAAACTATGAATTACGCAGTAGTTCCGGTGAGAAAGGACTTCCAGGAGAGAAATGAGAATGAATCTGGACCGTTGAATTGTAAGATGTGAAATTGAATTGTGCATTGGATGAAACTTAATTGTGCATTGGGTGAAATTGAAATGTGCACAATAAAAAGTAAAACTCAAATGTGCATTGAGTGAAACTGAAATGTGCAGAATAAAAGGTATAAAAATGACACCACATCGTGCCATTTTTTATGCACATTTTAGTTTTACCTAATGCACAATTCCGCTTCACATAGTGGATACCCTTTGTGCTACACATTTCAATTTCACTTATTGACATTTGAGTTTCACGTAATGCACATTATATTTCATATCTTACAATCCAACGGTCTAGATTCATTCTCATTTCTCTTTTAAGATCATATTCTCATTTGAACTTAATTCTTACATATATTTCATTATAGTTATCATTTATGAATTTAAAATATTGTATAATTTCATATTATAGTCCATTCTATCATTTTTGTGCTCTAAGAACCTTAATATTGGAAGTAAGAACACGTCTATCTCATACGTAGTACGAAGTATTACAGAGTATGAAAAAGAATGCTACGGAGTACCTCACCGCAACACTTATCCCAATATTTTAGTTTGAACGTACGTTTTCACTGAAGTAAAGAGAATCGAAATTTATTTTCAGAAAAGCATAACTATATGAAGAGCTCGTTTGATGACTTTATTTTTCGGCTTATCAACCAACTTTTTAATCAAACACGTAACTTTTGATTTCACGCGCTGAATTGTGTAATAATAAGAAAAAGTAAGGTTGAAGTTACTTTTGGACTGTATTAGCTGAAGTTACTATTTTAACTATTTTTCATATGATTTTTTCTTTATTTTATTAATAAAATATTTTTTAAATATGATTTTTTCATTAATCAGCATAATCAGCCGATACAGCCACTTCAGCCAGAATTTCATAAATTTCAGCAAAATCAGTCGATTCAACCGATCTTAGTGTTACCAAACAGGCTCAAAGTGTGGTTACTTTATTGAAAAGTTAGATACGGAGTACTTCATAAATAAATAGGGATATGATGGATTGTGTACTTTTTAGGGTCTTGCTAGAGGTACACGTTTGGTGTACACGTCTGTCCTTCACAGACAAATTGTCTGTCACAGACAAGTTGTCTGTGACAGACAAGTTGTCTGTGACAGACAATTTGTCTGTGAAAGACAGATATGTGTACACCAAACGTGTACACAAAACGTGTACCTAAAGCATTTTCCTACTTTTTAATAGCAAAAGATAATACTCCGCAGGAGAGAGAGATCGTACAAAGTAGATTAAAATATGGACAACATAAATAAAACGACATTATGTTTATTTCCGATCAGAACAAATATCCTCTTAAAAAAAATTAAGCCTCCCATCCTAAAAAGTCTTTGTTGGAAAAATTTATACTTATTCACTAGAGTTTTGCTAGGGATACACAAATTGTGTATACATTTTGTATATATATGTCTGTCACTGACAACACATTTTTCGATTCACTATAGTGCAAATGAATCAACACACATTCTCGGCCCAAATTTGATTTGAACAACTTGAGATTTGATAAATGGGCCAAACTAACCAATAAACTAACTTAAATAATGTGTGTCAAACAAACTATCAAACTACAACTACATTAATGTGTGATTCCATATTTTCCTCACTACAAGGCCAACTTGGATATATGTTAGTAATCCAGAATCCTAGATTGTGATTTACTCCGTACTATTTTACACCTACTACGTTCCGTCAAACTTGATTAATTTTAATGTCCATTTAGAAAGTAAAAAATGTGTAGTTGAGATTTATGGAGAGAAATTAAATATGTAATGTAGAACCGGTGAGGGAAACTAAAAATAATACCCCGCAATTAATTATTATAGTCCTATTTGAGACAAATTAGACGTTTTGATCCTATTTGGGTGATAATACTCCGTATTAAAATAATGAAAATATGGTAACAAAAGTAATTGCACCTGTCCTGTTTGTTTTGTATGTGTTATACCTGCAGCACAACAACTAATGACAAGACCATGAATTTCTTGAGAAGTTTTGGTGACCTTAACAAGGATCCAACCCAGAGCCGATCCAATGATAAACATCAGGAGTATGTTTACTGGCATGAACCATCTACATGAACATTAAGGGGCAAAATATAAAAATAAAGAGATTAATTAAATTAGCTAGAAGAAAATATGGAAACAATGATGATCGATCAGAAATCGAAGTAGGAACACATCACACAAGGTAACAATGCTGGATGCTGTTAAGGTCTCCGCCAGGCTGCTAGCGACAAGCGCGGGAGAGAAAACGTAGAACACAAGCTACATTCAACCAAACACAAAACTAGATTAGTACATCTATACTACCACTATTTTGTAGTAATAGATAAAGATAGCAACCAGATGAGAATGTGATGTGATGCGAATTGGAAACAGAAATGTGTATTAGCCTGAATCGGCCAGAATCGGAAAACAGGATGACGATAAGGCATCGTGTTTTGTGATTCAGGCCAATTCAGATAAATAAACACAACAAAGAGTCGACGACGAAGACAAACTTTCACAATGAAGTGATCTTTTTAGTCACTTCATCTGTCCATAGTCTGAGACACGAATGTGTATCGCCATGAACAAAAATATGAACTGATTTGCATCATTACTTGCTGACACGAATTTTTTCACTAGAACCGAACTCGATGTACATATGCGTGTGTGTATATTACGTTGTTCAAATTGTGTCTGGCAGAAGCTCCCAAGATATCGACGCGATCGAGAGCGAGAAAGAGGCCAATGGCGGTGATGAGGAGTGTTTTGAGAACAGGCATTAGTGCTACCAAAAACAACTCAAGAAATGCCATTTGCCAAACTGACTCAGAGATATGCTTCAAGCTCTCCTCAGACAGAATCTTGTTCCTGTTTTCTTCTCATTAAATCCTTTTGTTGTGTGGTAAGTAGGGTGTTTTTAACATTTATTAACGTTTCTGGAAGAATACCTAATATATGCATGTACTATCTATATAAGAAGGAAAGAGTGGCCAATGCAAGACTTTTTGATATTTTACTATGGGAGGTAGAGTTAATTATTAATTATTAATTATAACTACTAAATGCCGTATAAAATGTACTATAAAAATATAAAATACAATAACACTTCACTTACTCAAGCTTTCTCGTTTTCCTTGCTGATGAATAAATGGCAGGCCAAATGACCAGCAATTTTTTCTTGTTGAGATTACTAAGGCACTGTTTGGCACAACTGATCGTTTTATTGGATCTGCTTAGCATCTGAACAACCATGGTTGGACTGAAAGTATGGTTTAATCAGACAATGATAAAGTTGGTCGACTTTAGTCTGGGAATCACATACAGCTAAGATATCGTTGTATCCCTTGAGGCTAATATACGTTAGTCATATTCCAATCACATACAACTTCATTTCCAAAATGGGGACTCAAAAACTCACTATTTCTTGGCTTCGTATTATGATAGAATAAAGCAAAATGACTCATTAAATTGTTTGCGCTAAATTGTTCATGAAATAGTAGTCAGTATATTCAATAATTTTTTACACGAATTTCATCATGATCATCGAAAAACAATCTATCTATGTTGTAGTGTACTCCCTCCATCCCATAATGAGGTTCCAATTACGGTTTATAATGTTTGGCTGACGATAAAACAACTTAATCCCTGTTCACACTCTGATTATTTTTAGTAAATAAAATTTACATATTTAGAAACTACATTAAAACAGCTTCAAAGCCTGCTAAAAAAATGTAAATTTGATAAAAGATTGATATATAAAGTAAAAGATTAAGAATGATTTAAGTTGATCATGTGAACAATGAACGAGAATCTTTGAATGGAACGGAGGAAGTACATGTTGCGTAAAACTGTGTACATGCATCTAATCCCTTACTTGATCAATATTGGTGAGAGCCTTTGAACCACTGGTGTTTTGAGCAATATTGTTGTTGTATACAACTTCATCATATTTTCTGATTTCTTTTTTATCAATGATGATTAGGTTTTTGAAAGCCATGGCAAATATTTTCAAATTTGTGGCAATTTTATGGTAATCTTTGTATATACTACGTACTCCGTATTTCATTTTTGGTGACGCTAATGCTTAGGATGAAGTTTTGGAGTCAACACGTCACGACTACACACAAATGTTTTCTGTATCAACATGCATGGACGCTGACGAGTCTTTTGTTTTGTTGCAGCGATGGTAGGCTTAAGGTTTATGTTTATCCGTTTATGTAGGGCAGGCTCGCATCCCAGAAACCATAAATTAATTGAACAAATTAAAAACAAATTAAAAATCATATGACCAATGACCGGTTAAGATTTATATATATAGAGAAGAGAAATTAATAGAAATCACAAATTAATTGATTAAAAGAGAAAATGACAAACTTTTGGAAGATCCGAACCAAAAAGAGAAAGATAACAAAATCATAAGAGAGGACGGAAGTATAAAATATGAAAGTTGAATACAATAATATGTAAATGGCGTGAAAAAACGGGAAGACATATGGTATGTTTCGCAAATGGCTTATCAGCCAGCTTTTAGCTTGTTTGACCCATTTCAGCTGTTTGATTGGTCAAAGAAGCTAATAATGATGTTTGGTAAATGACTTTTAAAATTAGCTTGTTGAGTTTGAAAAGCTGAAAAAATGGATTGTTGAAGAAGCTAAGGGGAGCAGTTTCTTCATTTGGTTGGTTCAATTTACACTCTATCAGCCATTTTGAAACAACCAATTTTACCAAATAGTTATCTATAACCAGCTAACATAACCAGCCGGTCAAAACAGCTAACACAACCAGTTGTTAGGAAACAGCTGACACAACCAACTAACAACAACAACTAACAGCCATTTGCCAAACATACCCATACTCCGTATATACAACACAACCTCGAGATAGTCATTAGCGGCTTTGTTGTAATGTTCTTTGTTTTTTTAAATTTAAAAGAAAACAGGTTTTTATATTAATATAGGGAAGACAAACTCCGTATATACAACACAACCTCCAGATTAGGGGTGGACTCGGCCCGGCAGCCCGGCCCGGCGGCCCGGCCCGGCCCGGTCACTGTTTGAACCGGCCCGAACCGCCGGCCCGGCCAGAGACCGGTCCGGGTAGGCCCCACCCGCTGGGGTTTCGGGCCGGGCTTGGGCCCTTGAAAAGGTGAATCAGCCCGGCCAGTTCGGGCCCGGTCCGGGCCTATTTATTTATTTATTTATTTATTTTTTTTTAGTTTTTGGGTTGGGCTGGGTATTTTGGGCCATTTGAGGTGGTTTAGGGTGGTTTGGGGGTGAGGGGGGAGGGTTGGGGGTTAATTAGGAAAAGCAAAAAAAAATAAGTTGAACCGAGGCCCGGCCCGAACCGGACCCGGGGGTTACCTGGGCCGGTTCCGGGCCTCCCCTTTCATGAACCGAGGCCCGGCCGGGCCCAGGCCCGAACCGGGCCCGAACCGGCCCGAGTCCACCCCTACTCCAGATAGTCATTAGCGGCTTTGTTGTGTGTTTAATCTGCATCTCTCCCAAAATATACCTTGTACCTCCGTCCCACTCAACTTTGCCAATTTCATATTGTATGTGAAATTAGAAAAGTAAAAACTCTGATTGAGATTTGTACATAGGATAGAGAAATGAATAGAGCCACAAATCTATTGTTTAACAGGGAAAGTGAAAAAATTTTGAGCAAACGAAAAAGAAAATTTGCAAAGTCTAGTGGGACAGAAAGATTAGTAATTATGTATGGAGTATAATTTAATTATTTCGCTTATAACTTAAATCCCGTCATATTCTTATTCACTATACGATTCAATAGAAAGATTCTATATAAGTAACCAAGTTTCGATAACCAACCATTCCAGCTCAGCTGGTTGTGAGGTTACTGTGCCTAGTAAGAGGTGTCGAGTTCGAAACCTACTAGACACATAAAGGTTCGAAACTCAATGAACTGAGTTTCAGTCCTGATTACTCATGGGCCCCATCAGTGGCGGACCCACTAAGAGTCCCATGGGGTCCCGGGACCCCGTGGACTTCGAAAAATTTACCTATATATATTACATATATTTTGAACAATATTAAGTGGTAAATGTATATATACAACATAAGCGAATGAAAGTTCAAATGACTGCTGTAGAGGAATGGGAGCAAGCACCCCCTTAAAAGCCTCTCTCTCATGAGGTATTGGGTTCGAATCCCACACTCACAATCATTTTGTTTTGGTCCATGAAAGCTGCATTTTAGAACACTAAATGATGCCGTTTTGGTCCATTTTTTATTTTTTAAACCCCTACCAACCGCAGCCCACAACAAATCTATTGCCATCATCGTATCTCCCTCAGATTTCCACCACTTCTTATTAATTCATTTTTTTAATTAATTATAATTTTTTATGACTTAATGTAACAAATTTATGTATTTATAAATGTTTTTTTTTTGAAAAAAGGTATTTCGGTAGTGTACCCAAATTTAAAGAAGTTCGAAGTACTGAGAGTAGTTAAAATATTAATTCCAATGATTCGCCTTTAGTAACTAAAATCTGCATAAACAACACGTTGATTTCATCCTAGTGTTCAAGACGAGGTATGGCATAGTTACCTTCAAAAAGGGTCATTTAAACCTCATGATCATGATTTCCTTTTTAAAGTAATTGCTGCTAAAAACGTAAGTTTGTTTCAAGTTGATTTGATGAGCACAAATGGTTGGAATATAGTATTGTCAAAGATGCAACATTTTGAAATGGGTGGGAAGTTGGTGGTCATTATTTTTTGGGAATGGGATTTTTAGCATGGAATAAAAAAGATAGGTTTTATGTACATGTTGAAAACATTAACTATGAAACATTATGCTTCTTGATATTTTTCTTCAATTTTATATTATTAAGAGTTATACTACCTCCGTTCTCTTTTAGTTGCAACATTGGACTTTTTACACTATTCGCATGTTCTACTTTGACTACATTTTATTAATTGATGTATAATAAATTAAATTTTAAAAAAATATTGTTAAATTCTTCTCATTCTAAATTTTCAAAATATGAATTTTTTATTTTTTTTACTAATAAGAAATAAAAGATTTTAATGGTCAAACTTGTGCATTGGCTAACGTGAAATGTTGACTGTTGCAATTAAAAAGGAACGGAGGAAGTATTAATTTAGGGACCCCGTGACTCTAATTTTCTGGGCCCGCCACTGGGCCCCATCCTCCCTCCCTCAGACACCTAGAGTAAAAAAAAAGTATATATATAAGTGAATTGTGAAGGCATAATACTTAGTCGGTTAGTCCCAATTTAAACGTTGATCATAACTAATCAATCATTGTAAGGAATTATTGATCATAGTAATATTAAATCGTAACTACTTAGTCCTATAATTGTAGGCTTCTAGCCCAAAGATGTAAGATGTTATTTATTCGATCATACGAAGTATATAAGAGAAAGTCATTAAAGAAGATCGTTACATAAAGGTCTAGAAATAACAGTTATGTTGATGGTCATATAAGATTTTGCGAGTTCCGTTTTCCGTGAACTGTGTATAGTAAAATCTCTCCCCTAGATCGTGAAAAAAAATTGGACCGGCCTTGAGGACCATCATGAATTATAAAGGATTGATTATCCATTTGGTTTATATATCTATAAGTTAATAAGTAATGTTTACAAAACTATTTTTTAGAAGGTGCAATAGGTATTTGGCATCGGGTTTCATTCTTATAAGGAGTCTTCAAAATTTTAGTATGTAGTAGTGGTTATAGGCTGATTTTTTTGAATGTTATGTATTATTCCAGATTTCAAAAGGTCAATAACTTTAGATTGTTTAATTTGCGTACTTTAAATATTATAAAACTTATATTTCACTTAATTATCTAGTATATATGTATTATATTGTTAAATTTTGTATATATTCTTTTTTTAGGGGGTCTCAATTCATTATTTGGAACGAATCGGAGCCTCTAAATTCATTGTTTACCTATATATAATTAAAACATATTCAGTTTTAAGTCTT